GCAATGTACTATCATATGAAAACTGCCTTTGAACTCCGTCAGGAGCTGATAACGGGCTACAGAGACATCATAAGGGATCAGTGTTCAAATGGGAATGAAACAAAGGCTTTGGTTATATCAACCAGGGGTGGGAGAGCTGTGATGCGTGAGGAACATTCTTTCATCCTAGCCTAGTGGGATCTCTGTGATTTGAGAAACCACACTAGTGCTTGGGGTCATCCAGACCCTTGGAAGTTCTCAGGGTGGAAATGTGCTGATTGATTAGAGAAACTTGCCCTTTGTTTTGGATCTGTGGGATTCAAGCTTGCCCTGAGTGGGGGAGGGGCTCACCTAGAGGACTAACAGCTAGTTGGTCCAGGAGTCAGGGAGGATCTAGTTTGGTATTTGAAGAAGTTGAAGTGGGTCTGAGGAGTCCAAGTAAAATATCAGAGACAGACATGAGAGTATATATCTTGCTTAACTCTGTGGACCCCTGTGGTGTATGGTGAATCAGAACATAGGACGGAAGGCCTGTGTGGCTGGCCAAGTTTGAATGTGAAATGCTTCTAATGCTCTCTTGTGTTTGAACACTTGGTCCCCAGATGGTAGGGTTGTTTTGGAAGGCTGTGGAATCTATGGAAGATGGTGTCTTGAGACTTAAGCCTCTGGCCCCACTTCTGACCTGTTCTCTGCTTCTTGATGGCAGATACAGTGTGACCATCCACTAACAATCTTCAGCAATACCTTCTGCACCAAGATAGATGGTGTTCTCAAACTGTAAGCTAAGATAGGCCCTTCTTCCCTTAAGTTGATCCCTTGTTGAAGATATTCTCCATTGGATTGACCACGCAGAGAACAACCATCCTGTGGTATGAATCACCTGGTGCTTATACACTGCCTGTCTTTGTATTCCTGTGCCCATAGCTGGACTGTGTTTCTCAGATTCTTCTGCAGTCAGGTGAAGCCATTTAACCAATTTTTAGCCCATCAAGAATGCCTGGAAGAGAGACTTATTTCCAGGCCCGCCCACAGCAACCTCTTACAGAACCCTTTATAGTCTCTTTCTATATTTGCTGGAAGATACCCAAGGAATGCAATGTGGAGAGCTGAAAGATTAAAATATCCTGATAGCCCCAGTGATCACTTAGTGGAAAATGCTGTGTGGACAGTTCTGTGAGCAATGAACTTATTTTTATTAGGTTACGACATTCATGTGTTGGGGGACACGTTTATGATGGCACTTAACCTACTCTCCTGGAAGCCACTGTAATGGCTACTATTTACTGGGCCTTACTTTAGTCTGTTCACTCAACAAGCCCATGGAGTGGGCCCTTTCCACATATTAACAGAGGAAATGGGAGCCATGCTGGTGGCAGGTAAAGAACAGAGTATTCTGCTCCCAAAATGCAGACCCAAGTACTAAAGTATGCTGTACTGGCTTCCGGTGGGAAAGGACTAGGTAGAAACTAGGTAGGCAAGAAGACCTCATGAGGAGTTACTGCAGTGTTATTAGCTTCAAGCCTGGGAGATGGGGAAACAGGATCTTGTCCATGCTGACTGAGAGGGAGACTCAGGGGATCAGTGAGGACAGGCCTAATGGCAACTGTATAGCAAATGGTGGCTTTATCCTCTCTCTCTCTCTCTCTCTCTCTCTCTCTCTCTCTCTCTCTCTCTCTCTGACACACACACACACACACACACACAGACACATCTATCTATCTATCTATCTATCTATCTATATCTATCTATCTATCTATCTATCTATCTATCATCTATCTATCAGTCTGTCATCTATCTATGCATGTGTACAGGCATGTGTGTGTGTGTGACAGCTGTTGTGTGGACAGCCTTGTGTGTTATTCCTCATCTTCCACTTTGTTCTTTTGAGACAGAGTCTTTGCTTACTGGATGCTGTACACACTAGGCTAACCAGCCCACTAGTATCTGGGAATTCTCTTGCCTCTGCCTCCTGCCCTGCCTCTGTATCTCTGTGCGGTAGGTACTCTGGAATTATGACTCACTGGACCACCTCAGGTTTTATGTGAATTCTGGGGATTCAAACTCAAGGTTCATGCTAATGGGGCAAGGACTTTGCCCACTGAGCCATCTCCTCACTTCTAACTTGACTTTTTAAAACAGGAAGGGTGCTGATCTGGGCAGAAACAAGAGAATTGTTCTGGAAGCTCTATTGGGAGGATGTGTGGTGACTATCTTATCTTGCTCTCACAGGGACCAGAGAAGCATAGTGTGCACTGTGATGTTGGGGTAGAAGGAGGCAGGAAACAGGACAGAAGATAAACAGCGTGATGTGAAAGCAGGGCCTAAACCTTTGGCCATACAAAGATGAGTAGGGGAGGCCTGTGTCCCTGCCCTGGTTTACAAGGCAGTCAATTGTCTGGGTGTATCTACCTCTGTCCTGAGTGGATACTTTTAATCTGCCCCAGTGTGCTCAAGGTCTTTAGTCTCTTTGTGTCTCCTTTAATCATCTGAAAGTAAGGACAATGACTAACAGGACTAATCTCAGGGTTGCTGGGAAGAGGTTCAGTGGGAGGGTGGGGCTGGATGCATATGTTGTGCACTATTGGTAAATGCTAGAAATGACCATTACACGCCAAGTCTTTCACATTAGTCCTCTGTCTCCACACACACAGACCAGAGCTCTCAGCCTAGCAGAATCCTGAAACTCAACGGTTACAATAGTGATGAACTCACAGCAGCTAGTTAAATATTTGTAAGACAAAGAAGGGAAATTGTATCTCCCTCCCTCCCTCCCTCCCTCTCCCCCATCTCTCTCAGTCTCTCCTGTCCTTCTGATAGTCTCTTGAAAGCTAATGGAGTATGGTTGAGCTTATAGAATCTTTTCTTCCAATAGTGGCAAACTGTGTGTAACAGAAAATTGACCACTTTAACAATTGTAAGTGTGCAGTTCAGTGGTGTTAAATATTCTCAGCTATTTGTTATCTATCTCTACCATTCGTCTCCAGAATGTTTTCATCTCCCTCAGGTTCTGGAAACCACTAATTAAAAGAAAACCAAACATATTTGTTTGTTTGTTTGTTTGTTTAGAGAGAGAGAGAGAGAGAGAGAGAGAGAGAGAGAGAGAGAGAGAGAGTGAGTGTGTCTGGAGGTCAGAGAACAACTTGCAGAGGTTGGGTTTTCCCCTTCTACCACATAGGTAGCTCTTGGAGACCAAATTCAGTTATCAAGCTTGGAAAAACCCTACTTTTACCCAGGTCATCTTGCTGCATCACCCCCGCCCCCGGCATGGCGGCCGGGCCCAGGGCGGGGTGTTTTGTGGGGGGGGGGGGGTCATGTATCCCGGCGGGCATCAAACTTTCTGGGTAAGTGACCACTCACGGCGCCGCCACCTAACCCACCGCCCCCCCTGCACTCACCTCCCATGTGCTGGGAGGGATTACAGGTGTGCATCACCATGTCAGGTTCTGTGTGGTACTAAGGAGAGGACCGACCCCGAGATTCAGTGTGTGAAACATGCTCCCCACCAACTGAGCCCCATCCTAGCCCCATCTTTCCTTTGTATTTATAAACCTGACTGTCCGGGTACCTTATATAAGTCGAATCACATTGTCCTTCTGTGACATTTCACTGGTTTTATGGTCTTAGGCTTTGTCATCCTGAAAAAGTGCTTTCTCTTCTGTGGCATGCAGTAAAGATTATACCTGCCTCATGAAGTGTCCTCCAGGTGAACGTGATACACGTATACAAGGCTCTTAGCCAGCTGCTGGCACAAATGAGTGTGCACGGTAACACCCAAGTGTGTATTCTAAGGTTGGTGGACATTAGTACATATGCACTGTTGTATGTGGGCGTCTATATGAGTATTACAGGTCTGAGGGGAAGTGGTAGAGCTCAGAGGGGGAGGGGGTTCCCCGCCACAAGTGTTACAGCTCTGAAGGGAAAGGTTTCCTGGCAGCCAGGAGCCAAGGAATACCACAAAGCCATTCTGCGTAACAAATTTCATACTACAGATTTATTGGGAGGGAAAAAACCCAGGAGGGTGGCTGCCTCTGCTCAGACAAGAAGCGGTAGAGAACTGAGCAGAAGACAGGGTTTATTTTGGGCTTTGAGGGGCCGGGGTGGGCAGAACTTTCCAGGCTAGAAATTTCCAGGGTGGGGATTACTGGGACTTCAAATCCTGGTCTTGGGCTTTTTACTCTGTAGGGCGGAGCTGGGCCACCTTCGTGGTGATGACAGCAGTTGGAGATCCTCAGGGCCAGAGTCTGGCCACTCGCATGTTGTGAGGGGCTTACAGGTATATTCTGAATTAATGAACTCTGGCACTTTTGTACTGTATCCAGAGCTGTCTTGAGCTCTTTTCATTTCTTCACTCACTGAAGCTTTGTGAGGATGACATGACATTAGCTCAGTCGCTGTCATTTGCAGATGAAACAGTGAACATGAATGAAATTCAGTGGCACTCAGTTATGTGGTTATCTCCTGGCTTGTACAAGCTGTGCTGGGGTGTCAGTGCAGGCAGTGTGAGGGGAGAGGTGCATCTCACTGGTGGTCCCCTGGCTTTGGGTAGATGAGGCTGTAGGTCTCACCCATCCCCAGGTTCCCAAAGTCCACCAGTTTTACCATACACAACAGTGCCATATCGTCTCTACTGCCTCAGACACCCAGCAGCTATCATGTGCTCACTCGCTCCTTGGGCCAGGTGATCAGGGTGCGTGTGGAGAAGGTCCTAGGTGGGAAGGAGGCCCGCGAGGATTGTGGGATGTCAACGGCAGAAGAGCTGACTGTTACTGAGTGTGCAGTCTCTTCTGCTGGGGCCCTCCTTATGCCTGAACACACATGCTGGCCACCTTTGGACCCTGGAAAGATGAGGCACTATGGAGGGGCCTGGTGTATGCTCTGCTCCTGATGCAAGCAGACCACGCCTTTCTTGTTGCTGGCACTAAGCCCAGCAATCATTGATCTCACGTGGCCCTTGCCCTGTTGAGATTAGAAAAAAAAAGTTTACTCTTCTGGGCCACCTCCCATCCAGACTCTATTGCTTTCTGGACACCTTTGGTGAACGTCCCCAGTCCTTTAAAAGGGCAGAGTCTAGCGGACCAGTCTGTGTCCTGGAGATAAATGAACACAATCTAGGGCAGCCGGTGCAGCTCCTGGTACCTCTGGCTCGGACCTTTTGGAACAGATGTCTGGGGAGGTGAGTCTGTTGCCTGGGCAAGGGCACTAAGGATGTGTTTAAAGCTGGGGATGGGGGGTTCTGTTTGGGGGCCTCTGCCACCCGTGTTTCCTGTCTTTCTCCCTACGGCAGACACCGATGTGTAGTATGGACCTACGCGAGGTCAAGGTGAAGGAGACCAGCACAGCTGGCAGATACCGCACGTCCTGGTATGAGCAGTACGTACAACCGTGTATCGTGGAACTTTTGGGCTCCGCTCTCTTCATCTTCATTGGATGCCTATCGGTCATTGAGAACAGTCCGAATACTGGGCTCCTGCAGCCTGCCCTGGCTCATGGGCTGGCCCTGGGACTCATCATTGCTACCTTGGGGAACATCAGGTGAGACCAGATCTCAGCGTTTAGCCTAGTGCCAATCTGGGAACTCTTGGGCACCCACTTATGGTCTTACAAATATGGGGGGTGGGGTCATCTAGCTTTTCAGCCTGTGCCGCCTAGTAAATAGGAGTCATACCGTTGCTATATTTTAAAGTTAGTTTTCGAGCCAACATACACTCTCTGCTCTATACTGAACCCTCTTCAGGTATTCTATTCTAGTGACAAACTTAAGAAATAGGTTCTGTTATTTCCTCAGTTTTATATTTGCAAAAGAGAAAAGTCCACATCACTGATATGCGGTATTTGCTAGAAGGTGGTGGAGCCAGGAGTCAAATTCAAGCTGTCTGACTATAGTGCCCAAAGCTGAGTGTTTCGGGGAGATGGGATCGTGGGGTGCTCAGTACTCTCAGTACTCAGTACTGTGGTACACAGAAAGTGCCGGGGCTTTATCCTGACGAGAGTTAAGTTGGTTTTTTTGTTTTGTTTTTTAAAAGAGGCAGAAAAATGACCCTCCCTTGGTTTTTATCTGGGTAGACGCTCAGTAGGATGGGTTGAGGGGAGGTGGGTTGTTTCCTAGAAGAGCCATGTGCCTATTGCCACATGGCTGTAATGGTGGATATTCAGCTTGGGGCATCTGACTCGGGGAACTGGGATAGGGCTGTTCTCTATCTCACTCAAAATCAGATCTTAGTGAGGACATTGGCTTACTGTTCTCTGGAAAGAAACAATAGATAATTTATTATCTCTTTAAATGGCCAAGGGGGGTTGTGAGTGGGATGAAAGGCACATGACCTATCTAGATAGGCTGGTGGCTTCCTGGCCAGGTGACCAAGGCTAGCCTCTGAGCTTGTGTTTAGTTGTGTGATATAGAAGAGGGCAACATCTGGGTGTCAGTGAAGCCCAGAGTGTGACCAGCAGGCAGAGATCTTAGGTTTTCAGTCTGGTGTGTGGACTGTAGGTACGACACTTTGGCCACATTTCTGAAGGGCCAGCACAAGCTCTGAGGTAAACCATGGATGTTCTCCTTACGTGTTTGTCTCCAAGGCCACCTAGGGCCTGGGTTTAGGGCCCGCTCCACCTATCCCCAGTGCTTCTCACCCCAACACAAAGCTCCTCATGGAAAAATGGGAGCGAGTTGCACATTTCTGCTTATGGAAGGCACTGGGCTGACTCTAGCCTGCAGGCTCAGCTTGGGGGACAGGCTGGAGTACATATTCTCAAGGGACATCCCTGTGGTAAGCCTTGGACCATGGCCTCATGGCTTCCTCTCTTCTTGGTTGTAGTGGTGGACACTTCAACCCTGCTGTGTCGCTGGCAGTCACACTGATCGGAGGCCTTAAGACCATGCTGCTAATTCCCTATTGGATCTCCCAGCTGTTTGGGGGGCTGATTGGGGCTGCCTTGGCTAAGGTGAGTGATCCCTGTGGGGACTAGGGTAGTGGCTTGGTACTGATGGCATCCCCTTCCCCCTCTCTTTCCTTAGGGTTGATACTTCATGCTTAAAATCTTTAAAATCTTTCCATCAATTAAAAAGGCTACTTCCTGGGCCAAGGAGATGCCCCAGCAGTTAAGAGCACTGGCTGCTCCTCCAGAGGACCTGGGTTCAATTCCTAGTACCCACATGGCAGCTCACAACCATCTGTAACTCCAGTCTGAGGGATCTAACACTCTTTTCTGGCCTCTGTGGTTACTAGGCATGCTTGTGGTGCACAGGCATACATGAACACAAACCATATATATATCAATATAAGCGAGTTCTTCTTAGATGCAAGTTCCCCTTCCACCAGCACTGGTGGTAGAACCAAGGGACTTCAGCATTCCAGAGAAGTGGTAGTGGTCTACCATAGAACTTCATCCCCAGGCTGGGGCAAAGATTTCATAGCTCTATACATAATTCCATGGGCTCCTTCCCTCCGACCCTCCTTGCTCTTCCTCCTGTGTATTCTTCCCTTCTGCCCCTTCCGACTCCCACCGGTGCCTGCTCCCCTGAGGCTGACTCAGTTTCAACCCCTCGCTCTGTTTCCTCAAGGCCTGCAGGTCCTGCAGTGTCTTCACCCTCTAGGGCTTGAGGCAAGCTGGATTTGTGCTCTTTTTCTCAGCGAGGGTTATTTAAACGGCATAGGGACCAACATCCAGTATCCTCAGTTTTCAGGTGTGCAAAGCAAGGTTCAGGGAAGTCTTGTAGCGTCTTCGGTTACGTGTGAAAAGGAGAATGAACACGGATATGTCCAAGTGCAGACAGGTCGGAGCACAGACCTGTGTCCCGCTTCCGGCTTCTCTCTCCTAGGCTGAGTGGCTTTTCCTCCACAGGTGGTGAGTCCAGAGGAAAGGTTCTGGAATGCGTCTGGGGCAGCCTTTGGGATAGTCCAGGAGCAGGAGCAGGTGGCAGAAGCCCTGGGGGTAGAGATCATTCTGACGATGTTGTTGGTACTGGCCGTGTGCATGGGTGCCGTCAACGAGAAGACAATGGGCCCCCTGGCCCCATTCTCCATTGGCTTCTCTGTCATTGTGGACATCCTGGCAGGGTAAGTATCCCTCAGAAGTGTGGTGGCCCTGCCCTGTGGCAAATGGAGATAGTGGACTGGCTTTGGGCAGGCAATGGTGGGTAGGTGGTATCAGACAGTGCTAGGTGATTTTTGTCAAGAGAATATGGTCACTCTTCTACTTTATTTAGGGCTAAGTCAGTGGTCTGGATGAAAATTCCTAACTTTCGTAGGAAGCCAGAAATAAATATAAATTTTATAAATAAACCATTACCTTGGGGTGTTACCTCTGTCTTACAGAAAAATTATCTCTACCCCTGGTCTCTTTTATTTTGAGTTTCTTGTTAGTTTTGGGAAGGCATTAAGGAGACATTTGCTCAGGAACTATTTCTCCCTTGAACAGGTAGTCAAACTGTGGTTTAGAAAGGCAAGAAATGAGTTAGAGTTATTGAGAGTCTAAAGTGACAAATCTGGGACAATCACCCACATCTGCTGGAATGTCACTTCCAAAAGTTCCTTCTTTCCATTTGGACACAGAACCAAACCTATCTCAGGGCTCGAGGCTCTGTCCCCTTGGATGGTCTGAGAATGTGGTAGCACAGTAGTAGTAGTGGTACTTTACTGCCCTCTAGTGGCACTGGCTTCACTTACAAGTGTGCTCACCCCCCACCTGGATGGGGTTCTGGACACAGAACCTACTGAAGGCTATAGGACCCAGTTTGAAGGCACTTGTCTGGAGACAGAACCTAGAGCTTCAGGTGTGTCTTGGAAACATGCTCTCTCTGCTGAGCCCAGGGAACATGCCTCTTCTGGTGTGCCTGGGAAACAGACTGCCTCTGGAGGTAGGGTCCAGGTCTGTGGCATGAGGACCTTAGTGGCCAGACACACTACAGTAACCATCACGATGTGCACATTTTGTCATTTGTTCTTGGCTACAGACTATGGGGTGGAGACTTTCATCTCAGTGGATATCCAGAGAGGTTAGACAAAGGTCACAGAGTAGAACTGCCTGGGCTGGACTTTGAATGTAGGTCAACTGGACTCCAAAATAGGTGGCATTCCTTGGACTTTGCTTTATAGACTTTGGAAAGGAACATGTTCCATTTCCCCCTCCTATCGTGACTAAGCAGGTGCTTTTACTGGCCACTTGTTCTGAGAGAGAGAGAGAGAGAGAGAGAGAGAGAGAGAGAGAGAGAGAGAGAGAGAGAGAGAATGATGATGATGGCCATATAGCAATCATCCTTTGTCTGCCTAGAGCTAAGGCCCTTTTACAACATGTGGGATCCACCCAGGAGCCCTGGTATGGAAGGTTAGAGGATGTTTGTTTGGGGCTGACTGCAGGCTTGATTAAGGATGTGGATTTGAGGTAGGACCTTCTGAGATGCTGGTGAACTGGGTACCTATGTGTCTGCAGAGGTGGGATCTCTGGAGCCTGCATGAACCCTGCTCGTGCCTTTGGACCTGCTGTGATGGCCGGCTACTGGGACTTCCACTGGATCTACTGGCTGGGGCCCCTCGTGGCTGGCCTCTTTGTAGGACTACTCATTAGGTAGGAGGGTGATGGGAGTCTCTACAGCTACTAGGTTGGCACTCACTTGGACTTGGAGGAGAATGGGAATCTTCAGAGGGAACTATGCTGCTTCTGCCTAGGGCCTTTGGCTCCAAGTGACAGAAATCCACTTTACAAAGGGGACTAACTGGCTCTTAGGACTGAAGTATTCACGGGTGGCACTGGCTTCAAGTAGTACTCAAATGTGTTTCTAAGGACTTGGGATACTGCTATGGGTGGGCTTCATGTTTAGATTGGCTTTAAAAATATTTTTTATCTAAATTTTTTGTATAATAGATTTAGATCATATTCTTTCTCCTTGGGGCACCAACTCCTCCCAGACCTTCCCCATTTTCCCTCAGCTGTGTCTGGGCTGAGTGTGTAGCCTTCTTGTATCATTACCCACTGCAGTCTACAGGCTTCAGGCCATGCCCAGAGCCTGGTGTGAAACACCACTAATCATTCTGTTGCTGATTTCTGAATGGCCACCATACATATCCTTCCGGACAAGGTATGTGTGAGACCAGAGAGGAAACCGTCCCTTACTTCCTGAGGGAACTGAGCTCAGGAAGCCACCAGTCTAGAGAGTTCTGGGCTAGGAGATTTGTAATGGAAAGCTGGGTCTTTCTTCCAGGGGAATGGAGACCTCACAGGGCAATTTATTTTTAGGCTCTTCATTGGAGATGACAAGACCCGCCTAATTCTAAAGTCGAGGTGAAGAACTGCTGGTGGCGTCCCCACTGCCTGGAGTCCTCAGCTGCTTGTCCTCAGTTGAGGATGGGACAATTCCATTATTTCCTACAGGACCTGAGCTCAGAGGAGCCACCATGATAGCAGCTGACCTTGTACTGGCTTCTCAGGCAGGCAGGCAGGTAGCTGCTGCTTTGTCCTAAGCATACTCCTGGAATCCAGAATTCCTTTGTGCTCATGGACTGGGCCTGGGGCCCAGCCTAAAATCAGGTAGAGACCATGTAGAAAAAAAAGGGAAGGTCTCTTTTCCTGAGAGAGGACAGGACATTGGAGGGCCAAGCAGATGGAGAATGCAGTTGCTAATTACACTGTTCATTTCTCCAGCCCTCTTTCTTTTTCACTGTGTTGGGTTTGGAACCCAATTCATGCATACGAGGTGAGCACTTTGCTACTGAGCCCCTTGCTCTCCCCACCCTCTTTCCTCTTGATGACACTGTTACAGAAGGGCTTTCAGGAGCCCAACGATTTCCTTGCTTCCCCAGCTGCCAATCTGACTTTGTAATAAATCACCTTTTCCTTCCAGATGTCTGTTGACTTGTCTTTTGTTTAAGACATGGGCTCTGATGGAGAGGAAATATAAGTCTGGGTGGAGAGGCTGACTTCCAGAGGCACTGTAGGTACTTATATGGTCCTTCTCATAGTCTGTCTGCACTCAGACAGACCCACTGTGGCATTCATCCTGGAGCTCAGTGTTCATTTACTTACATTCTAGTTAGAAGAACCTGCTGAAAATGGAATGTAAAGCCCAGGGCCTTGATGAATGTCCAGTACTATCTGGATATGAACCAATCCATTCATTGCACTCCAGCTGGGGATGAGGTGGGGGTGGGGCAAAGATGCAGGGATTCTCCATGGAAGAAGAACAGCAACCAACAGCACAGACTGATGGGCTGGTGGCATGTGGGTGAGAGACATAAATAGAATGGAGAAGGGATAAGGAGACACAGTAGTAACACATCTTCCAAGTACAGCATGTATCTATCTTCTTTAAGAACCGAGGGGCATAGATTTGATTCCTAGCACTCATATGGTGGCTCATGACTGTCTAACTCCAATCTCAGGAGTATCTGGCTCTCCACTCTGGCCTCCTGGGCATGGCATACACATGGTGCACAGACCTAAATACAGCCAAAACACTCAGACACATAATCCAAGAACACATCAAAAAGATCATCCACCATGGTCAAGTTGGCTTCACGCTAGAGACTCAGGGTTGGTTCAAGATACAAAAATAGATAAATATAACCCATTACATAAACAGACTGAAATAAAAACCCCATGTGATCATCTCATTAAATTCAGAAAAAAAATATACTTTCATGATAAAAGCCTGGAGAGACTAGGGATACAAGGGACATACCTTAACCTAATAAAGATGATTTACAACAAGCTCACAGCCAATATTAACCTAAATAGAGAGAAACCTAAATTGAGGTTAGAAACAAGACAAGGGTGTCCACTCTTACCATACCTATTCAATATAGTGCTTGGACTCTTAGCTAGAGAATAAGACAACTGGAGGAGATCAAGAGGATACAAATAACTCTGCCAGGAAGTTTGTACAGCTGATAACACACTCAGAAAAGTGGGAGGGTACAAAATTAACAGACAAAAATTGGTAGTCTCTTCTTATATACAAACAACCAGTAGTATCCCTGTCTATAAACAACAGACTGGGAAAGAAATCAGCACTATCTTACAATAAGCTAAACTTTTTACCCCTTGGGATGAGTCTAACCAAGTAAGTGAAGGACTTGTACAATAAAAACTTGAAGAATTGAAGGAGGGAATTGAAGAAGATATCAGAAGGTCAAAAGATCTCCTGTGCTCATGGATAAGTAGGGTTAATACAGTGAACACAGCCATCCTACCAAAAGCAGTCTACTGGGTCAATGCAATCCCCATCAAAATTCCAACACAATTCTTCACACAAATTGGAAAAAAGGTTTAAGCTTTATGAAAACACAAAAAAATCCAGGATAGCTAAGACAATCCCCAATGATAAAAGAACTGTGAGAAGTATCACCATTCCAGATTTCAAGTTGTATTATAGAACTATTGTAATAAAATTTGCATGGTATTGGCAAGACTAAGCAAAGTGTTCTCAGAAGATGAAACACAAGGCTGAGAAACACCTTAAGAGATGGCCAACATCTTTAGTCATCAGGGAAATACAAATCAAAACTACTTTGAGATTTTTATATTACAGGAGTCAGAACAGCCCAGATCAATAAAACAGATGATAGTACATGCTGGCTAGGATGTGGAGAAAGGAAACACTCATTCATTGCTGATGGCAGTGCAAACTCATACAACCATTATGGCAATCGTGTGTCAGTGCCTTAGGAAGCTGGAAATAGATTTATCTCAAGGTTTAGATATACTATTTTTGGGCATATACCCAAAGAACTCTACTTAGACTCTTGCTTATCCATGTTCATTGCTGCTCTATTTATGATAGCCAGAGATTGGAAACAGCCTAGATGTCCATGAATGAACACTGAAAATGTGGTACGTTTACACATGGAATATTACTCAGCTGTTAAAAAATGAAATTGTGAAAGTATCAAAGTAATAAATGGAACTAGAAAAGAAATACCAAATGAGCTCTCTCATGTGGGAAAAACTGCATGCAGGGGCGGCACTCGGGGGTTGGTAGCGGGTGGCCCAAGGACTGGCAACTCGGGAGCCTTTTCTGCCAGCTGGTTCCCACATACACGAGAAGGTCTGGGGTTCCAGAGGCTGGAAACTTTTTGGCGGCAGGCACAGAAGACACGTGGAGTCCAAGAGATGAAAGTTTTATTGTCCATGATGGTAGTTGGATCTGGATGTGAATGCCAGGAGGAGCTCCAAATGCCAGGAGGAGCTCTCTTATATGGTGAGTGGGAAAGAGGAGGGGCTAGGGAGGGGATAAGTTATGGCCCCCCTTTAGCTAACTCATTAATATGTAAATTTCTCGAGGACTGTTAGTCACGCCCTCTACCTGTGTCTTACGTGACTGTAGGTACAAGTTAAATGGAGATTAGACCCCGTGTCAGGGCCCTGGCTTCTGGGGGCATGGCCAGACACCTGCCATCTTGGGGATCCAGGCCCACGAACCAAGATGCCCTCCCATGGCCCGACAATCTCAGACACCAAAAGACAAATAGATGGTTTCCTTTATATGTGGATATTGGTTTTTAAGTCTTTTGTATGCATGCTACAATCCAAATATTACAAAGGTTAGGTATCAAGTAAGGGACTAGGGGGAAGAGATGGACCTCCTAAGGAAGGGGTAATAGAATATATAGTTATGGAGAAACAGGGAGAAAAATGTAGTGGAAAGAAATGCTGGTGTACTAGTGGCACAATGTTGTAGGAGTAACCACTCACTTTCTGATTGGATTTAAAGTCCAGTCCATGAGATGGAACCCGTGTCTGATACTGCTCGGGTGGCCAAGAGCCTGAAACTGGATAGGCCGTTGGCCTATGGAAAAACAGAATGCTGCTGTTAAGGGAACATAGCAGTAATATGGCTTCTATGATGTTTCTGCCATACCCACAGATCAGTGCCTTGCTCAACCTTCATCAGAGAAGATTCCTCTTGTAGCAGATGGGAACTAACAAAGAGACTCACAACTGGACAATATGTAGGGAATAAGAGATTTTGGAACATTCAGTACTAAATAGGATGTCTTCATCAAACCCATGACCTTAGGGCACAGGGATCTATGTTGAAGAAGAGTTAGAAACATTATTAAGAGCCAGAGGGGATGAAGGACTCCAAAGAAATAGCACTTTCCAGACACAACAGGACTGATGCATGTACAGAGATGGTGCCAGATTGCAAAGGGTCTGTATAGGTTCAAGCCAGATGAGGTCCTGGTTCTGAGGTGGGAAAATGGACATAGCTCTCACACCTAAACAAAGAAGGTCTCTACAACTGATATCAACTTACAAAGTTAAAATTAGTTTTCTCCAGCAGAATCTCACTGGGTATGTTAACCACACTTCAGGGCAGGCCTCATGCCCAGCGGGAGATGGTTAACATAGAAGTAACTCAGTGGTAATTTTGTAGACATTTCATCTCCTATTGTTTTGTTTGGGTATTTTTTTTTCTTATTGGTCTTTTGCTTGGATATTATGGTTTCTGATTTAGTGGTTTTTTTTTTTTCTGTAAGCTTTTTTCCCCGTTTGTTTTCTAAAGAAAGAAAGAAAGGGCATGAAGTTGGGTAGGTGTGGAGGATCTTGGAGAGTTGAGGAAGAAAAAAGCATAAACAATAATAAAGGAAAAAATAAAAACATCATGGGCTATTTATGAAAGAAAATAATTTTGTTACTGTAAAGTAGCTCCAGGGACAAACCAAACTTACTGTGGCAGTTTGATATGCTTGGCCCAGGGAATGGTACTGTTAGGAAATGTGGCCTTGTTAAAGGAAGTGTGTCACTGCAGGAGTGGACTTTGAGACCCTCTCCTAGCTGCCTGGAGGACAGTCTCTCCTGGCTGCAGTTGAACCAAGATGCAGAACTCTCAGCTCCTTCTCCAGCACCATGTATGCCTGGATGCTGCCATGCTTCCTGCCATGTTAATGGACTGAACCTCTGAAACTGTAAGCTAGCTACAATGAAATGTTTTCCTTTATAAAAGTTGCTTTGGTCATGGTGTCTCTTCACAACAACAAAGCCCAAACAAAGACACCTGACATTTCTATGCCATAAGCAAAGCACCCAGGGTGAAAGTGAAGGATGCTCCTTACTGGGGAAAAGGGTCTATTACAATGAAGGGCTCGGTTACAATTGGCTGGCAGGGTTTCTGTCTACATGGAACTTCAGAATATGACCTTATTTGGAAATACAGTCTTTGTAGACTCAACTAAGGGAACTATCAAGATGAAACTATGTTGGCATTGGGTGCTAAATTCAGAGAGTTATTGTAAGAGACAGAAAATGCCACACATGGGATGCAGTTACTGAGCACACCACAGGAAAACACAGAGACAGAAGATGTGGGAGAAGGCGGAAGTCTTTTTTCTAGTGCCTTTGGAGGGGACACATCCTTGCGGATACCTCAACTGTATGTCTCTTGGCTTCTAGAATGGCGAGAGGATAATTTTGTCATTTTAAGTTACAAAGTTTGTGGAAATGTATTACATGAGCCCCAGGAAACAAATGCAGGTGGGTACTCTTCTCCTCATCGTCCAGTGGCGTTAGTGGACACCGGAGCTGCTCAAGGTTACAGTATGTGGACAGATTAACTTGCTAAGATGAGCTTTGTTCAACTGCAAGGTCATTTCTGTTCCTGAGTAAGCGACAATATTATGTCTTTTGCCTTGGCTCTTGTCCATTTGTCCCCCACTAAAACAGGGACAGAAAGACATGTCATAACATCTCACTTTAAGTTTACAAACGAGTTCCAAAATCCAATATTCATTTAAAATTTTCAACTACAACCCCCAGGATGGATATGAATCCATCCTCTTAATGCCACATTATGTGTTCAGTGTTGCTCTATAGGAGGGTCTCAGAAAGTACCACACTTAGACAC